AAGCCACCAGACAGACCAGCGTGGTGGTGATGCCTGTAAAACCAGCACTAGGGAGGCTATAAACAGAAGGATCACTACAAGTCTGAGCTGCTAGTGAGACCCTGTACCAGGTACATTAAAACAAAACCAAAGAAAGTTTACACTTGATTTTGTAAGTAATGGTAATCATGTTTGGAGCACAGTAGCATAAAGAGATTTTGTGCTTCAGGGAGATGACTATAGAAGTTCATATAATTAGAAACTGCAGTTTTCCTTAGCCTAAATAAATAAATGAACCACAATAAACATTAGACACCCCATTTTCCCAGCTCCTATACAGTATGAAAACATTAAGAACTAGAGTGCAGGCTCTCAGTGAGTTATACTAGGTTTCCAAATAGCTGCCCCCAGGCAAAGTTCAGCAATGTAACCAATGCAAACTATATGCCCACAGAAAATCTACTTTCTATGACCTGCTTTAGCAAATTTTTTGTACTGACTAATCTCACTGGAGAATGAATCATGAATTTAGCAAGAGATCATGTCCTGGTGACCTCACTTGTTCTAACCTCTAAAGATTATTCCCACCTCTACTGGTTACAGGCTGCTTCAACAAAGCAGTCAGCCTCAGGTTGCTGTGGTTCAATCCCCACAACTCCAGCCAGCCAAACATGCCCTGAAGGCATTCTCAGCCAGCAACCGCCCCCCCAAAAAAAAAAAAAAATCCCTCTACTGGGTTACAAGGTGAGAAACATCATACTGGAAAATCCAGTCATTTTAGTATAAGTCCTCAATTTTTTTGTAAGTCAAAGATGGGGGGGGGGGAAGGAAGTGGAGTAGAGCAACATAAAACCCAGAATAAAGAAACTATACTGTCATGGTTTTTCTAACCCTACAGAAAATCACTGCTTGAGGCCATCTCCTAAAGTACTCAGAACAAGAAGACACATCCACAGGAGCAGTGCCAGGTCACCAGAGAGTAAAACCAATTGACACAAAAGCCCGGCTGACCACTGCCCTTGACAAGTAGATAAAAATGTGAACACAGTAAGGGAGAGAAAAGTAAGATTCTGGCAGTTGATTGAGTTTCAGAATTCTATAGTTAATCCAAAAGATTTCTTTTACAAATTTTGATTTTAAAAACTGCCACTGTAGCTCACACAAAAGTAGAGTTATGAGACACACAATCTTTCAGTGTTAAAATAATTTTAACAATGCCAATGGTTCCATTGTGACCTTCCATTATTGATCTGACTGTAGTAATTAGCTCCCACGCAACCATGAGTCAGGGTCAATTCAAGTGCACAATTCAATGGCATGATTTTAGAGCTGGGGAGGGTGGGAGAGATAATTCACATTTACAAACCAAAGACAATAAACAATAAGTAATTTTTTCCAACCTATGTGTAAATTAGGAATAAAGTTGGATAAGATTTTTCTTTCCTTTTTTTTCCCTGGTAATAACAGGTATCAAATCCAAGGCCTCATACATGCTAGGCAAGCAGTTTATGCTGAGCTACATCTGCACACCTTCTTTACATTTTGAGAGAGGGTTTCACTAACTGCCTAGTGTGGCATCAAACTTTCAGTGTTCCTACCTCAGCCTCCCAAGGAGCTGAGAACATAGGTGTGTGTCAATGTTCCAATGGCCCAAGGCACTTCTGAATCCTAGTTAAATATTCTTTTCATATAGTCTTACCTTTCCTTTGTGTGTCTTTATAAGTGTATTTGTTCATGCATGTGTCTATATCCTATTTCTCACTTATATATACACATATATGAATAATTTCTAACACCCACATTCTCATATGACTTTGATTTTCTTAAGATATATTAATATTTAGATTGTAATTCCAATGTTAGGACTCTGCCTTCTTCATCCTCCAGGGAATTCCCAGGTGTCTGTGTACTATTAGTCAATGAACAGCAGCAGAACAACATTGTTAGAGGATGAATGTTAAGTATAGATACAGAGTCAAGAGAATGTCCTCATAGAACTAAGATTATTACTGCTTGGACCAGAAATCAGCCACTCCAGTGATGAGATCTGGGCTTTCCCTCAGGGCTAGCTCCCAGTCACAGAGCTTCCAGGGGATGGCAAATGCAGGGATAGCAGAAGGAAAAGAGCAAACCCTGAGGATGTTTCAGTCTCCACCAAGTACTCTGAGGTTCTTTAGAAATGACCTCTGCTGCCACCTTGCCTTCAAAATTAGCCACCTGAATTGAAGAAAGTCTGATTGTTTCTCCCATGAAATATACCAGAAGCAGAGGTACCTCAGCTAGAGCTGGAGATGAGGCCTCAGCCGATTTCAGGTCAGGCCAGAGCTCAGACTGACATATCCAATCACCTGGTAAATCTATTCAAAGATCTTGGTTGGTTTTGACTAGAATGCATGCACATCTCTTTATCAGCCATAAATCTGTAACTCTACTCCCAGCCCAAGAACAGTGCCTACTGCTTGTCCTGTCCTTTACCAGTTGAGCAACAGAAACATGATTTATTTTTGCCTCCTCAGTACTTACCAAAAAGAAAAGGTGTCAGAAACTTGGCATATCCTTTACCTAAGTTTCCTAATTCCTATTAGGATGTATAGCGCATGATGAGCACCTGAGTTCCTGAAAAGGCCATTTGTTACAGTTTACTTTTCAAAATACAACTCAACTTTAGCCAGGCATTGTGGTACATGCCTGTAATCCCAGCCCTTGTGAGGCTGGGGCAGGAGGCCTGCCACAAGTTTGAGGCTAGCTTGGGCTCCACAGTGAGTTCAAGGCAAGCCTGAAATACATAGCAAGATTCTGTCTTTAAAAAACAAGCAAACAAAAACAAAACACCACTCACTTTATATTTCAACATAAATCAGTATTAAATTTCCTTTTAAATTGAGAATTACAAAAAAATGATCACAATTTTTATAATACCCAGGGAAAAGTTCATGAAGTTAAGGCATGGTTCTTGAATTTTCAATCTGAACAAGATACATAGTAAAAAAGTTAAAAAAACAAACAAAAAAAAAAAACATTCTCTTTGAGTTATACCAGGGATTCAAAGTGGTTAAGTTGCCTTAGCAATAAAATTCTATATGAATTTTTAAGAAACAAAACAAAATACAGGGCCAGGGAGATGGCTCAGAGGAATAAGCACTTCTCTGGCAAGTGCAAGGGCCTGAGTTCAATCCCCGGTTCCGCAAAAAATAAATAAATAAATAAATAAATAAATAAATAAAAAATACACTACAGAGATTATTTGCTAACCGAACAGTACACCATTTGTAGCTGGACTCAAGCAGCTCAACAGCAAAGCTACTATTCTGGCAGAAACAAGAGTCCCAGCAACTTGTTTGCCTCCTGACAGCTATCAAGTCACTGTGTCCTTGCTATGTCCTTGTCCTTTCACTCCCATGGTTACCACCATTAGCTAGATGTTACAGAAATGTTGAGTGTCAATGGGAAGACTAGAAATTACAAGCTACAAATAAATTTAAATGGAGCACGCCGGCCCCACCGGGCACACTGTGCCTGTGATGGAGTCAGGGCGTGGTGGCGCATGCCTGTAATCCCAGCACTAGAGAGGCACAAATCAGGAGGATCACTACAAGTCCAAGCTGTGTAGTGGGACACTGCACGCACACACACACACACACACACAACACACCTTACAAAAAAATTTAAATGGAGGACAAAATTAATTTTAAAAAGGAGAAATTTTAATTGTCTGTGAAAATACAGAGCATTTCCTTAATATTCCTACTAAACTGTATTATTGCCTCAGGTTATACTTACAAACTATATCTACTAACATGCTAAATGTGTCAGAGGACTACCAAGCAACAGTTGAAATGAAAGTGTGAGTAACTTTAATATAGCAATAAGGCATATCAGAAAATATCAGTAGAGTTGAAGCTTTCCATATTAAGGGCTGAGCAGGGTGACTAAAGAATCAGTAATAAAAGCTGATAAACAAGGTTATTTTGAAGGACAATGGTGGAGAAAAAGAGATAGCTACATCTAGAGAAGAATTTTATTCACATCTGAATAAAATTTTACATACACATGCATATGTGCACATGTATAAAACACAAGGAGAAAGGAAAATCAAAGCCCTCGGTGAGCATATGGCATGTGTGACGCAGTGGGCTGTTTGTTATCACTGAAAGCTCTAAAAGGTTCATCAACACTGTACCATGAAGTCCTAACCATCTTCTCCAACAGTTTCCACCTCCACTTGCCATGGGATTTCTGGCTCTACTCACAAGGGTCTGTGTGCTGTTCTCTGCACTGCCACCCACCTCTTCTTCTTCTTGTCCGTGGTGCTAAGGATGCAGCTTCAGGGCCACATCCAAGGGGGGCAAGTGCTCTACCACGGAACTATACCCTAGCCCCTTCTCCCATCTTTGTTCCCAGCATAATCCTATCATCTTTGTCTCCTGAATTATTGTGTCCTTCAAGGTCCAGCTCAAATTCTGCATCCCCTTAAAGTCCTTCCTGACCAGTCCAGCCTGCAGTGTCTTCTCTTTCCTCTGTGCTCGTATAGCCATTGCCACTCACTTATGTATAAATAAAAGCTCCTCATAAAACTTCCTGAGTCTTCATTAGGGTCAGATCCCTTCAGCTAGATGAGAAAGTTCTATAGGGCAGAGATTGTGTCTTCATATATCGCTAAATCTAGCAGAACACAAAGCTAAGCCAAATAAAATATATGATCCAATAAGGTCTATGGATGTGAATAAGCAGTATCACACAATGCTCAAAGGAAAATAATTACATGTGATAGTATTCTGATTCTAGCACACAAGATTAGAAAGAGAGAACTCAGCATGGTTGTCTTTTCACTAAATATAAATATCTCTTGAGAAGACAAGACTGTTGACTCGAGGCAAATTAAGTGCCAGCGTAAACAGAAGGAGTTTAGGTAAGCAAAGCTAGATGTGGATGGATATTGGAAAATAACATTCTCCTGAGGTTGACAGAAGAGAGATGGGAAAAACTGACAAGTACGCAATAGAATTCAGATTAAAGCATACCAGTATTTCCTTGCGCATCTTCTACCTTACTTGGTAAGGGCAACAGGAAAGAGGGCCTGGTGATATGAGGGCCTTGAAGAGATGGCTGCTGCCGCTGCTGTTGATGCAAAGGCATGGTTTTGAGGATGACTCGCCAGTCTGCTTGGGTAACATCTGACCTTGATCGAGCATGCCCTGGCTTGAAAGTGGAGGTCTCCTCCAGTAAGTCATTCACAGAACGAGGTCTATCTCTCCGACGCTGACAGATATTGAAAAAATTAAACGTTGATGCTTCCTTTTGTTCCATCCAGGATAGATTATCTGGGGTTGTCCCTCTCTGGACCATACACTGTTCTTTGGCAGGATAGACATTTTGAGCTTTGGTTTCTAAGAGTCTGCTCTGACAGTGCTCCCAAATCATGCCCCCCTTGCCCAGGGAGGCAACATTTCTCATAGCACCATTGTCTGTTCTGTTACTGAGTACTTCATGCCCTACCAGCTCAGGGACTTCCTGAATCCCATAAACCTCTGCTTGCTGCACAGCCTTTTCTAGCTTGCTATCAAAGGTACTAAAGAAATCCTCAGTAACCTCTAAGGCTGGGCTGATATCATCCACTTCCAAAGCTTCCATGTTGTAGGTTCCAAGAGGCTTGTGCCTCTCAAGCTGGTTCAGGAAAGGCCTTTAGGAACATTCACCAAAAAAGACAGGTGCTTTTGCAATAGAGTTATAGAACCTTCGATGGGTTCCTTAGCACAGGTCAAACATAAGCATGATTATTGAAAATATTTGCTAGTAACAGAATCATGGAGAGACAAATGTTCCTTTGAGCTTATTCTTCAATGAGATTTCTGTGAAAACAGCAAGGTAGTTCTTGTCAAACTGAGGCCATAGCAATCCTCAATTTCCTGGAAGAAAATAAACAGGACAACATTGGCACATGGTTCATTATGTTCTACAGCATACAAATCTTCCCAGTTACCTTTTCAGCTTTACACCTCTTTCATGGCAGTCAGGCACAAAGGGAGGCAACACAGAGACAGAAGTGCCACTGTCAGGAGCATGCCCCATCCCCGCTGTGTATGAGAACTTACACTTAGCTGGGCAGAGCTCTCGATAAGGGGAAATAAGGTCAACAGCTTTTACTCACACAGAGAAGCATTTGAGAGCAGCTGTGCAAGACTCTTATACCATGACCTAAAACAGTATAGAAACAGACAGGGGTGCTGTGGCTAGCCCTCTATCATAATCAGGCTAGAAGGCATAAATGCCTAAGTCCTTTTACAAACCTTGAAAAATGATGATATGATGGGCTTAAACGTACAAGGGGGAAGCAGAGAAGTGGCACCAAAACACTGATACTATGCTTGTATATCTTTGGGTTGGAGGGCATGATGGCTAAAGATGATTCCCAGCTTCACAATTCTCCCAGTCTTCTTGGGAAGCCTCAGGCTCCAAACTCCTGGAGACATCCAGGTGTGGCCTCAGAGAACAGATCTATTTTAGGGTATGTCTAAGAGCCTGAGTTGCACACTGTAGTTCGCCCCTTTCTTTTTCCAGACCTCAAGTCCTAAACCTTACAGTTGTGCCTGCATAGAAAGAATCTTATGGGGCTGGTGAGATGGCTCAGTGGTCTAAAAAGCACCTACTTGGAACAAGCTAAGCTATGCAAAGCACAGGGACCATGGTTCAATCCCCAGCACCACATGCCAGCCAGCCCCGCCCCCTGGTGGGCTGAGCTGGCCACACACACACACACACACACATACACACACACACAAAATAAATAAATAAATGTTTAAAAAAAAAAAAAGAATCTTATATGAGCACTAATCCACTTTCCTGGGAAATAAATGCTATATCTCCAAGATTAGGCCAATTTATGGCCAACCTTGACAGTTAACAGTTTAATAAACAGGCACTGTCATATACGGCTATTTAAATTTCAATTTAATATAATTGAAGTTCCTTGGTTATCCTAATCACATTTCAAGGGCCTAACAGTCACATATACTTTTGTATCTTTAGCAAACAAAAACGAACAGTTAAGCAAAAGTATTTTTTTGATGCAGTACTTTTATATAATGGAGTATTACTTGGCCATAAAGAAAGTTAAACTGGAGACTTTTATAGGTAAACGGATGCAACTCAAGACCATACTCATGGGCCTTCCAAATAGCTCAGCAGATTAAAGCCCCTACAAGCAGGCACAGGGGCCAGGGGTTTCAGCCCTGGGCTTGCCATGCCAGCCCCGCCCCTGGGGCATGCTGAGATCTCAATTGAGATTGGGCATGGTGGCACGCACCTAGAATCCCAGCTCTTGGGAGGCTGTAAACAGGCGGATCACTACGACTGCAATCTAGTAGTGAGACCCTGAACACCCTGTAGACCCTTCCCTAAAAATACAAAAAAAAAAAAAAAAAAAGACCATACTCATAAGTGAAATGAACCAGATACAAATGTGTAAACATCATATTGTCTCCATAGTGTGAGCAAATGAAAGAGTAAACAAAATCAAAAATTTACAAGAGATATTATATGGGGAGAAACTGGGTTGGAGGAATGGAAAAAAGAAGGAAGAGAAAAACAAAAAGGGAATACATATATATATAATAGTTGTACTACTAATTTTTCTTTTTTTTTAATATAAAAGTGGCATTCTTTATTTATCAAACCTTTCAAAAAAAAACACTGAAATGCATTTATCTTCATGGTCACGTTCTTTAGCAATATTTTTCCCTTTGATCCTTCAATCTCCTGAATTATTTTGATGGGTTCATCTCTAAACAAAGATTCTTGAATCTTTTTAGTTCTACTTGCTTGTGTTGTGCCCCTATCAGACTTATCTAGATTTTCTCTCTTGCCTCTTACACATGAAAGAGAGGTTAACAATGGAGATTTTATCAGCACATTTTTAGGATGTCAAGGGTAAGCCCTAAGGCAAGCATTTCAAGGCAATGAGATGCTATTACAGTTTTGAGAACTTAAGCATCACTGTTGGTACTACAAAGCAACACTCAATTTCAAAAGTATGTTATTATACTGGACACATTCATAATGTCTAGTATCATTCATTTCCACAGTTTTGATTTCAGAATACAGTTTTCTGAGGTTCAGTGTGACTGCCTCAGATATAATCCTTGAATATCAATGACACAACCTTTAACAAAGCATCTAGGGTAAACTTGAATATAGAATTGTTTCAAAAGAAGCAATAATAGCAAAAGAAAGCTCTTGGCTTTGAAAAAAAGGTACATGTATATAGTAAGGAACAAAACTGAATCAAAATAGGTAACTTTGTACATATTAGCCACCAACAATTGCTCTTTAAAAAAGTCATAAAGTTTGGAGCCACACTTATTTTCCTTCGAGTAACTCTACATTTGCATTCATCCTTCTCAAATCTGGTCCTCATTAAGAAGCTTTTAACCAGAACTTTTGGCAATATGTCTTTCTTCAAATAAAACAAGCCTCATAAAAAGGACTACCATTAATGTCTGACGGTTGAATTGAGCAATGTCTTCCTGAAATATGTGTGATCTTTAAAAAATTCTTTTTTTCTTCATGAATCAGCAGTGTCCCATCTTCAGATAAATCACAGTTACAATCTTACTGCACTGGCTCATATGTTCTCTTCATCCAACATTTTGTTGATACCATCACAAAGTTTTTGTAAGTGAGGTTTAAAACTTCCAAAGGGATTATACAAAGCAGCCAAAAATTCACAATTTGAAAAATGATCAAAGACATTATTAACCCGTCCGTGTGACTTGGCGGTGAGGTGGCGCTGGATGATCTGATGGAGCATCTCCCTGCACTCGTTCAACAGCTTGGACAACACATTCCGGTCGAAGGTGTACTCCACCTGATGGAAGCTGACCACGGTCATGGCAAGTTGGTGAACTTTCTTCTTGAATTTCTCCATCAGCGCAAGCTCATCTTGATTAAACTGGTTATTCCTATACAGAATAGCCAGCTTGATGACCGTTTTGATGAGGTTTTTGATGATCCTCTCCGCCTTCTTCTTGTTCTGGGTGTATTCCTTGGTCACTCTGTAGAGCTCATCCAGGACCTCACTACTTGTGTCATCAATTAAGGTGGTGGCGATGGACTTGGACACCATTTTACCCAAGATCTTCTTCTGTGCCTGCACGGCCAGGTTTTTAGAATTAAAGACATCTGTGGCCATCGGAGGAGCAGCCGGCGGGCGGGACCTGAGGCGCGAGGTGGGCGGCTGCGCGGACTGACCCGCGGGACGCTGAGGGCTGGCGGAGAGCCTAATTTTTCTTAGTTCCATGAAAAGATAGGTTTGTGCTAATATTGTTTGGACAATTAAATGCTGATATCTTGTATTTTGAGTAATTTAAAGATAACAATATGCAATGTATTAATCATTGCTACCCTTCTATCTTATTGTTTTAGAATTGTTTCTTGAGGTCTTTTTTTCCTCTTTAAAATAAAATTTAAGGACCAGGTGATAGCTCAGTGGAATAGGCACTTCCCTGGCAAG